AATAAACAAGTAATTTGGTTATATAATTTGGGCATTGGCAAAAACACACACACACACACACACACACACACACAAATATAATGAAGCTTTTTGCTAGAATACAGCATATAATAATCAATTATAAAATGTTGTGAATAAGTTAGCAGTTTCCCATGTCTTAAAGAGATGGAATAAATGATTCCCAGTAAAACAATGGTGATGGCTTAGAATGATCGACCCAGAATGACCCCAATGAAAAATCACTTTGCCATTTAGTTGGAAATCAGAACTTGGTCATGAGGGTGTATAACACGTCTGAGTATGGTAAAAAACTGGAGCACACATCTGAGTTTGTGAAAGCAGACATAAGATAGCATTGGGGAGAAATCAAGTGATATCTATCCCTGAAGTGGTAGTCTTTCTTCCTTTCTTCTTCCTTCTTTCTATCCTTGCTTCCTTCCTTCCTTCCTTTCTTTCTTTTTCCTTCTTTCCTTCCTTCCTTCCTTCCTTCCTTCCTTCCTTCCTTCCTTCCTTCCTTCATTGCTTCCTTCCTTCCTTCCTTCTTTCCTCCCTCCCTCCATCCCTTCCTTCCCTCTGTCCTTTCATTCTTTTGTTTTTTTGATTCAGGTTAGTATGAAAGAACTTCCTGGTAGAGCAAATTTGTTGTTTTCATGGCAAGAAGGAAATGATCAAAGAGGAACAGCAGCAAAAGATTCTCCCCCACCCCAGGCACAGCCACTGCAACTCAGCTCGAGGGGGCCTCAACTATTAACAGCACATCCAACTATGAACATCCATGGATGAATCCACTCAGAAGTATAGTCCCCAAGTCAGGGCACTCTTAATCTCATCAAATTGATAATTTGGATTAACTGGCACAGAGTCATGTGACCAGTCACTCCAAAGGTACTTGAAGTGGCAGTGGCAGACAAAAGTGCTGTGTGGAGATTTTTGGTTTTAGAACTTCAATTTAATTGGGCTGAACTAATCTCAGCCACCTGGTAATGAAATAGGTTTGCTAAAATATTTGATAAAGCCTAGGCAATTTAGCAACTTAGTAAGACCTTGTTTCCAACAAAACAATCTAAATTTGTCTGATAACCCAAGATATAATCCCTTAAAAAAAGAGCAGCCTGTAAAAATGGTATTTTAAAGTCCTTAGAAATTGATAAATTTTCTGAATCTTTAAGTTGTTACTGTGCTATTTTCCACATTATGCTCAGAGCTTTTCTATCGGATACACTACTTCACATTTTGACTATATTTTATTAAAAATATACTTTTTTCCCCATATGTGTAACTTTGTTGTGCCTCCACTATGCAGTGATGTATTTCTATTTTGTATTCTTGTTTAACGTCATAATAACATTGCATTACTTTGAAGTGTATGAACTTCTTGCTTTATCTTGTTCATGGCACATGAAGTGTGTGTTTGGATAGCTGTGTCTGTGTGTGTGTAAATGGATCCCAAGTCTTCACATATGTGCAAGAATGTAACCTACAATTGATACCCTCCACACACAATCCCTGAGAGAATTATTTCTCTAGTAGAGGCAAAGTGGAACAAGAGTAGCTGGACACATCCTCCTATAAAAACTTTGGTTGTTAAAAAAAAAAAAAAACCTTTGGTTGTTTTCATAGCATTTCTTCTTCATTTATTTTTTGTCTTTTGTTGAGACGGGGTCTTGCTATGCAGTTCAGTCTAGCCTGAACTCACTTTGTAGCCCAGGCTGGGTTCTAACTCATAAGAATCCTCCAACCTCAGCCTGAGTAATCCCGAGAGCTCGGATTACAGGCCTGAGCCACCATGCCCGGTTTATAGCATTTCTTCTTTATTTAGAACTGACATTTCTGAATCACTGGCACTTTCTGTTCTTGATCAACTGAAGTAGGATTGTACTTCTCCAGAAGTTTGTGCTAAACATGGATTTCTTCTCACAAGCATATTTTGGCCACCAGAATTGAGTGTTCATAGGGTTTAGTCTATTCAATTCCTTGTACTCTTACTTGGAACTTCAAATCCACAACGCTTCCTGCAGTGTTGGCCGATATTCTCACATTTCCCTTTGTAGAATTTCTGAGTTTTTGTGATGATATGGAAGTTTAATTCCTCTCAAGGCTATCAGAAGTCTTTCTGTATTTCTTTCACTCCTTCATGCATAGTTTGATTACTGTTGATTCTTTATATGTCCTTATGAGAAAGGGTCTAGCTATGTATTTCTCACTGGTCTTAAATTAGCAAGGATCCTCCAACCTCAACCTCTGGAGTGCTGGGATAAGGGGAGTGTACCGCCCGGCCCAGCTGTTGTGGATTCATAAATACTCAAATTTCAGAATCCTTCCTTACCTCTTTAGAAAATAGGCAATATAAGAAAAAGACACAGTGGCCTTGTTTACAGTCCCAGAACAGTACAGTCTCAAGCAGTAGGATGATGGAAAGTGTAAGGCTTGCTTGGACTACGGGCAAGACACTCTTTCAAATTTCACAAAAAGAAATAAATGAAAAATAAACAAGAAATTCAAAAGTTGCAAAAAGTAATGAGACAAAAGACTGGTGGTGCAAGTATTAACTGAATCTGTTAATTTGAGTAAGCATGTCTAACTCCACGGTATTTAAATAGGAAGACCCATGCTAGGGTGGATCCTCAACTAAGTAGCATAAAAGGGAAGCCAAAAAGGGAGGGTTACATGTGTTCCAGAAGAAATCACCCTGTATTCAACTCAGATCTAAGCCTTCAACAGGGTTCTCTGTGTCTCCAGCCTGACAACAAACTTTTTGTGTCTCCCATATGTGACTCTGCATGCAGGATCAGTAAGTCATTCTTCAAACTTCTTGCAGATTTGATTACATTGCACTAAGTCCATTTATTTAGAGAGTACTGCCTGTCACAGGTAGGGACAATTCAGGTAGTGTACATTGGTCTGTATCATATTATCTTAGATTTAAATAGGCTTAGAAAAACAAATAAGCAATTATTCCTTGTGGGAGTAGCACTATTTCATTTTAATTCATCTTCATAGCATTACTATTAGAAAACAATAAGGATATCGGCTGGACATCCTCAAGGGCAGTCAGACAGTGGGTGAGCTCCAAGATTGGCATGATGTCATTAAGGACAGTTTTCTGTCACTTGTCCTCAAAAATATTTCTCCCTTGTCATGGGCAAACCTCTCTTCCCTGAGGCTCAGTTTTTCTTCAGCTGCTGATCTTCCCTAGTGGTGGCAGGCCTGTGTCAGCCAGCCAAAGTGCACAAGTAAGTCACTCCTCTTAGAAGGCTTAGTGTGCATACTGCTTATGAGAATAAGGAAGCCAGGTCCCTCCCTCAGTGACTTTGTTTGTTTCCAGGTGCCCTATATGTTTTCAATGGCAACTCTATCAGGAGGATGGGCTGGAGTGGGGAAGTTACCCAGATTAGCCTGGCTGCTCTCATGTAGTAGAGGAGGATGTTGGTTTGATAACCCAGGAGGACACTGAAGAGAATTGTCCCTGTCTTTTGGGATCCAAGAGGGAGCAAAGGAGAGCAAGTGAGTGGGATGGACATCTGCTGGCCAAATCACAACCTCCTATGGCCAGAGAAGGGACAATACAGAGAGGTACACCATTTTCTGTCTCATCTTGAGCAAGGTTTTTAACCCATCAAATTTCAAACTCTGTGTGAAGTACAATATAGTATCATAGGCCAAAAGTGGAGATGAGGAAAGTTTTTTAATTAGGCCCATATAACCATGGCTTCAGAGGCACAGTTTCTTTGAAGTACACTCTAGTTATCTGTCAAAATCTTGGACTGCTTCAGAACGTTAATAGCGATGAGAAGTTGTTGTTACAGATACAGTTGACCAAGAAGGCACACTAGCATGCTCTTGTAATCCCAGCATTCTTGGAGATTTAAGTAGGAGGATTCTGATAGGTACACCCTGACTTTGGAAGTCTAGTGAATTAATTAGACTGAATCTCAAACCCATAAAGAATGAAAGGACAAGACATGTAACTCAGTGGGCAGTCTCTAGGCTCTCAATCTCCAGTAGTGAAAAGCAAAACAAAATGCACTGTGTCATAGAATGTCATCAAAAAGTAGATTTTTAATGATGTAATTTGCTGCTAATAGGACTGAATTTTGCTGTGGCGTTCCAGCTCTACTCAATGCTTAGTGATTCTCGTGCCACAGTCATCTGAGTGGTAAAATTACACGCATATATGGTGGTGTAAATATTAACGGAATCTATTAATTTGATTAAAGCATGCCTAGCTCAACTGGATTTAAATAGCATAGGAAGACCCACCCTAGGGTGGATCCCCACCTAAGTGGCATAAAAGGGAAGCCAAAAAGGAAGGGTTACATCTGTTCCAGAAGAACTCACACTGTACTCAACAAAAATATTAAAAAGGGGATTTCTTCAGTGAGCTGTTTTTTAAAGGAATCAAGACAGGACTAAATAGTGACTAATTATTAAGTAAATCTTGGTAAATGGAACTCTGATTAATTAATGTTTTAAATCTACACATCAGGGTCTCTAGACTGCCGTATCTCCCTGCTTTTCTTGGATCTGCTGACTGGAGTGACATGTCTACAGTCTGGTGAAGAAAGAAAACCCGGGAAACCTTTCTTCACTTTCACACTGGTGATGTCAGTAGTTCAAGAAATGTCCAGTGGGCCGGTAGCTGAGAACCAGCATGTCACAAAGATCAAAGTAGTGAAATTCTCCTATGTGTGGTCCATCAGTAACTTTAGCTTTTCCCTAAAGGAAATAGGTAATGCCATTGAAACTTCAAACTTTTCACCTCAAGAAAATCATAAACTGAAATGGTGCTTATGAGTATATCCAAAAAGGATGAATAAAGAAAGCAAAGATTACCTGTCCCTATGTCTGGCATTGATCAGCTGCCCAATGATAGAAGCTTGGGTAAAATTCACATTTTACATTGTGAATGATAAAGGACAGAACACCAAAGGTCTGTAGAGTCAAGAAATTCATAGATTTGATCCAGGCACAGAATAGGGATTCAGAAAATTCATCTTTAGAGATTTTATTTTGGATGCACCCAATGGGCTACTCCCCAATGACAAGCTGACCCTCTTCTGTGAGGTGAAAGTGACACAAGACTTCACCAAAAGTTTTAGCCTGAATAACAAGAATATGGTGAAGGCTTCTGAGCACTGGTTAACAAGTGATCTAGCAGGGCTATGGAAGAATTCCCTGTTGGCAGACTGTTGCTTGTTGGTGTCTGGCCAGGAATTCCAGGCTCACAAAGCCATCTTAGCAGCCTGCTCTCCAGTTTTCAGGGCCATGTTTGAACATGAAATGCAGGAGAGCAAGAATAATCAAGTTAAAATCAGTGATATGGAGCCTGAAGTTTTCAAGGAAATAATGTTCTTAATGTACACAGGAAAGGCACCAAAACTCGGCAGAATGGCACCTGATCTGCTGGCAGCTGCAGACAGGTGTGGCCTGGGGTGCCTGAAGCTCATGTGTGAGAAACACCTCTGCTGCAACCTCTCTGTGGAGAATGTCATAAAAATCCTCATCTTGGTTGAGTTCCACAAGGCACATCAGTTGAAAGTTTGTGCAGTGGATTTCATCAACTTGCATATTTCTGACATCCTGGAGAATGAGCAGTGGAAGTCCTTAGTGGTGTCACACCACCAATTGTTGGCTGAAGCCTATCAGTCTCTGGCTTCCATGCAGTGTGCTTTCCTGGGACCCCCATATAAGCATGTAAGGCTGTCCTGAGATCAACCTGTCCATTTATCTTCCACAAACAGGGGTCACAGTGGATACGACTGCACCTTTGCTAGACAGGACAATCTTTGGAGCTTTCACACTTCTACAAGGAAACACTGAATTGTATTTATTCCTGGGGATAGATGGCACCACTTTTCAATTTTAATAATGAGATAGGAACTTAGAATTTAGAAGAGTAACTTTTGAAAAGTCCTTAGAATGTAACTTAGAGGCAATCAGAATCCTGGCTTTTACAATAAAATGCATTCTTATTGTTTCAATGTTGATCCCAAAGCAAAATCAAAGGATTCACCAGCAAAACAGACACACCTGTGGGGTAGACCTGCCCTAAGAATGTAGGACTATGGTCTCTTCCTCCATTTTTTTTTGTGAATAAAGTTTAATCTTATTTATACAGTTGTATGAATTCTTTTCCTTTTTGTACATTGAAGAGTTAAAAGTCTGGGGAAGTTTGAGGATGGCCAGATGACTAGAGGCCCACCCATGTGCTGGACACCCCAGGTTTACATTGGCACTAATCAACTTCGAGAATGGGAGAAGAACAACACCCAGGATTTGAACATTTGGACCAACGGAATTACCTGCGATGCATCTCTTTGCTCCCTTGTCCATGACAGAGGGACATTGGCATGCATTCTAGGCACTGGCCTGCACATCTCAGGAGTGATAGTGCAAGGAACAGCCTGTCCTGAAGGAGCAGACCAATCATCAGGTTCCTGGACCAAAGGGAGGGAAAAGTGTTCCATTTTAAGAAAAATGAAAAGAAAATGAAACAATAATAGAATCAATTTGTGTATTACACAAGAATTCATGTTCGGGAAGCAAATTATAATCCTTTCAACTTCGCCCATATAAAGGTGCTAGTAAACATGCCTGCCCGTTGTACAAATTTTAAGAGAGTCCTTATACTGTTAACAGTTTTGCTTGCAAGAACAGAATGTACGTGTTTTTCTATCTTAAAAATAAGGGATGGAGGATAAAAGAGGAATTAAGAGTTTTATTTGGAAGATGAATGTTTTGACAATTTTACCTTTAACAGCAATCATTGTTAGTGTTGTTTTGGAACCACTCTGGACATTTCAATTTCATGGGCATTTAAGGACACATTAGAGTAGAGCCACACTTGTCTTTAACAGGTGCATAGTGATATAAAAATGTGTACCCATTTTTTGATGTGAATTACACATCAACTTTAATGACACTCTATGACAATATAAATGTGAGATAGCAACCTGTATAAATTCTAAAGAGTTAGGAGGCTCTCCTTGTGGCTCTTCTGCTCTACACTTCCCCATGCTTCCTGCTCTTGTTGGTTTCATACACGTGTGTTATTCCACATTGCAACCTCATGCACACAAACCTGTCTTTCTTGAGGGATCCACCACCAAGATAGCAGTGATGAATGCTAAAACGTATTTCACTCATTTGTCTTCACAAGGTCTATGGTCCTTAAATATTGTAAGAAACATTTTTGAAGCATTTTGACAAATTTATTTTTCTTACATCCCCTTCTCCCCTTTTCTCTAAAACAAGAAAATGCAAAGGAAAGCCACTGAGAAGAAAAATAAACATTTACTATTAAATGCTTTTTTAAAAATATCAAGATTCTCCAGCTGCCCATAACGAACTAGCTGCCTGTGTTGGAGCTATCCCAGTATCTTTTCATTAGCCACACCTCCTACAAAGCAGAACACTCGAATATAAAGTGTTTTCTTCTTAGAAATATAAATTATTGCTATTTTTAAAAATAAATCTGCATATTAAAATCAGGGTTCCAATCTAACTCAAATTAACTAACAAAGAAATAACTGATACAGTGAAAATACCACTTGTTGAAAGAAATGAAGCAGAGTGCTTTAGAGCCTACAATTGTGCAAGACCAAGGCCACACTCCAAGATTCCTAGAATGCAAGTATATGTCAGAGTAACTTAATGTCAAATGATTTTGGAGAGATAGAAATTAAAAATAAGGCACAAATATACACAAATAGTTTTAATTGCAAAGGTAAATGAAGCCATGCAAGGTCTGCAGTTTAGGTGGCTGGAGGCAGGATCATTGTGATATGAGGTCTAGTTTAGCTCTCTGGCAAGAGTGGGAGGTCAGCTCTTAAGAATTTGCAAGTGGGCTTGGGGATGCATAATCAACTCCTTAGGCTAGTGTCACTCTTTCAGAATGTTTTTGACAGAAAAGTGGTTTGCACCCCAGGAAAGAATTGTCTGTCTGTATCACAAACACAGTCAAGTAGATTTCTGTGTTTTAAACAATAGCAAAACATTCTAGTGAAGATACAACCTGTTTGAATTATCATGCTATAAAAACTAGTTGATGGCAGAAGACCAAAAAGCGTTTCTTATCAATTTTCAGTCCTTTTAAGGAAACAAGGCCCACCTGCATTTGGGAAGACTGGAGTCACCTCACCAGCCTATCTGTGTCATCCAAAGATGCCTGGCTACCATCCTTTTACCTTTAAAAACAATCATTGTTGGTGTTGTTTTGGAACCACTCTGGACATTTAAATTTCATGGTCATTTAAGGACAGGTGAGAGTAGAAACCCAGTTGTTTTCAACAGGTGCATAGTGATATAAAAATAAAGTTATATAAAAATAAAGTAATGTAAAAATACAAGGCATCCTGTTAAATTTTTCAATACTTAGATGACTAAAGCAAACAGATTAACAAAGTTTCCAGGTGGCAGTACAGTTGGACACAGTGAAGCTGAGGGACCCACTCCCCTTCCTTCATTCTACTGTAAACACAAATGTCTTGATTATCGATATGTAAGTTTACTGGGACACTGAGTCACTGAAATTAATGAGAGATTGTGTGGGATGCCAGAGGAATTAGAGGGGTCTCACCATAGTGGGAGGCACCTTCAACCAGAGGGATCTGGTTACCAGAGCAGGCAGTTGGATGACAGCTGTCTGACCACTATGGAGGGCACCTGAGTCTGATTCCTAAAGCAAATGAAGCCTGAATCATTGGGGTTCCTGCTCCTCCTTGTCTTCTTTTTACTGTCTACATTCTGTCAGTTCCTGTTGCTCTCATCTTTTGGTCTCAATAGACAGTAATATTATTTTTATGAGATGTATGCTATGTAATTCTTTTTATTTGTTTACTTATAGCTTAGCCAAAGGAACCTGGTCTATTTTGGGGCCAATTGTCTGTAACAGCTGTCAATTGATGGATTAGAGGTAGCACCAACAGTTTCCCACCATTGATCTATCATTATGGAATCCCGGCTTACCCAGAATTTCTGCACAAAGGTATTAGATGTAAAGATGTTCAAGCTTTTCTTTCAGGCTGACAAATATTTCCATTAAAGACAAAGCACCCTAGTGTACCTAATGAAGACATTTGTTCAATTTTCTGAATAAAGTTTCCTCCACCTTTCAATTGAAAGATAGTTGATGTGGTAGAATTTTATTAGCTTATCTACATTCATATTGGGGGTATGGGTGACTGTGAGTGTGGTGGTGCATTTTTGTAAAAAGATCTCATTTCACCTTTTCAGGAGTATTTGTAGTGTCATTAAGCATAGGAATATTTCTGTGGATATTGGAAATGTCAAAATTTACAGAACTAAAGTATGACTAAGTCATCATAATTTAAAGAGTATTTAGAACATAAACACTGTCTAAGGGAGGGCAAAAAATATATAACTTAGTACTGCACTGATTTTTGTATTTTACTGCTACTTAACAATTATGTTAGTTTTGGATATTAAAATTACAAAAATATAGGACTGTTGATTTAACTTACTGGCATACATGTTTGCCTGACAAGTGTCAGGTCTGTGAGTTCACACCCTGCTACACACACACACACACACACACACACACACACACACATATATATATATACACACACACACACACACACATATATATATATATATATATATATATATATATATATAAAGAGAGAGACAAATACATTAGGTGTACCTAAAGAAACAAATCTGTCATATTTTGCCTGCCAATATTAATATAGCAGTACATATGGATTATCCTGAGAGGACTATCAGAGTTTAATACAATAACAATTGTCTCTTTGGGTGAGCCTTTGTTGTGACTTGAGTCTGGCAGTCCCAAAACCCCATGCAATTATGGAGGTAGGCTTATAGTGTGCCTGAATGACGCATGATCCAAATATGGGATCTTAGGTTTGAGTGCTACATGCAAGGTTTTGGGTGGCCTATATAAAATATAACTGACTTAAAGAGTCTGCTCTATGTGATCCTCTCCTTTTGCTGCTGTTGCTTGTGCAGCTTTCTGCTGCTGAGATATGATGACATCTGCCATGTTTCACTCTGACTTGCAGACTGTGGATTATAGACTGAAGGCTACAAAGATGGTAAGCTGTATTAATCTTTGGGTCCCTAATTTAATGGTCAAATATTTTGTTTCAGCAATGAGACAATAGTAACCAACAGAGAAATTGGCACCAGAGGAATGGAGTCCTATGAATACCTGTCCATTGTTTCAAGAGCCTTTGAGAATTTCTTGTGGCTAGATTTTGGAAAGGTTTACATGTCTCCTAATGGATAAAGCTACATCACATTATACTGTTTTCCATATGAGATTCTGCTTAGAAAACAGAAGACAAGAATTTTGATAGAAATCATGACATTCAAGACCAGTTCAGTATGTTTGATCACCAAAATTGAGTATTTAAATGATCAGACTATGCAATTCCTTCTGCTCTTATTTGGGACCCTGAAGAAGCAAAGCTTGTGTAGTTTTGCCTGTTATTCTCACATTTGCCTTGGGTGGAGGTGCAGAATACAAACTCACTGTTGTCCACTAAACCCTGTGTTACTTACATTGTTCTGTTCTGATCTGCTTTGTTGTGTCCCCTTTTGTCTTAATCTCCTTAAAGTTAAATTTTAAAAAAATGAAAACTAATAGAGACTTCTCAGATTTTAATGTGATTGAACTATTAGGAGTCATTGAGTGGTTTTCATATGAAAGGAAATGAAGAAATAAG